GGCGCCACGTAGCGAAAAGAAGAAACGACTGGCGCGCTGTTGTTAACTCGGCTATAATCGCGTAAGCGGTGTCTACGCCAATTAAGAAGAAAGAAGAAGATTGGTTATTTGACATCATCATAAAGTTTGAAAGCAGTTATTTTATTTAATTATATTAAAAATTTCCAATAGCGAAAACACACCGGTTTTAATTAAGGCACGCGAATACAGTATAATAAAAATTTGAATTCCATTAAAATCAATATACCGTTAATACAGAAGTAACCAAACCAACATTTTTTCTATAATACTAACGTATTACTCCATTATTAAAGTATATAGTATAACCTTAATTGAGCGTGGCCCTAAGGATCAACCCCACCAATTCCCTTTTCACATTTGTTAATACTTTCAACCATCGATCCGTAACGAATCCTATGTAAAGTAACCCAAATGTATATAAGACCTACCATTTTGATTCGTTAGGTTATTACTGGTGTTGTTGTTGTAACGGAAGAATTCTGCCGAGTTGACAGTCCTTGGCCGGATAAAAATCCGGGTCCGTTCCGGTTTTCGTAGATCCGACTGTCGTGGGAACGGTTTGGGTTATTACTGTCTTCCTTTTGTGCTTATTTTCTTCGTCGTTTGACAGTTCATATTCAGTAATTTTGCTTACATTTCAAGGAACAGTATAACACATAAGTGAAAGCTGTTTTATTTACTAAATTGTACATAAATTGTAACTTAAAATTCATAATTTATCATAAATTTAATTAAATATAGTTCAAAGAATGTGTGTGTGTTAAATTGGTTAAATTTTTTGCAAGCAGTGCAACAAAAACTTCAAAAGAAGAGAGCCATTGTTTGAGCAAATGTGAAGATGTGCGTTTTTTGCTTACGTATATCTAAAAAACAAATTAGCATTTAACAATAAATTTACATTTAAACCAAAATTTAATTCATTGGCTATCCGTGCTATATAAATTTCAAAAAATCCGTGCAGGCATTTAAGAGGAATAAGTTGAAGTGGAGATACTGAAACGAACCCAACCCGTGTAATCTTAAGCAAATTCACAATTTTCACTTTTTGCAGGTTATATAAGCAAGAAATCTATATTTAAAAAATCACTTTGTACTCTCGTAGTGAGCATCATTTTTGTGCTAACAATTATGAGGAAATGGAGCGCTGCCATAGGATAATAAGCAAATATGAGTAATTCGCTGAATTTCTCTATTTCGATATACTTCCTCTTTCTTTATTTAGCAAGTATAAACAATCTTTCCATACATATTTTTTTTTCTTATTTGAATTGAATAAAGAACTAGGTAATATTACGTAATAAAATAATAATATACTTAGATTACCACGGGTATTGGCTCGACCAGTGTAATTTTTTTTGAAAGAAAGGAGTACTACGCTTAACTACTCAATCAATGTTGGAAAGTATTTTTTATTATAGTCAATACAAGAAGAAAAATCATTGAAAATCCTACATATTTTATGTTTAAGATGTGCAACGCTCGTTTTTTTCGTAATTGTAAACAATCTAACATTTTATATATTTATTATATAATATGCTAAGTTATTTTTAAATGAATAAATTTTACTAAAATATAAGAAAATGAAAGTGAAATGCTAACTTGTTTCTATGTTTAGAGTGTATATTTAAACAGAAAAGTGAAAAATGTGAAAAAATTTAGTGGAACAATGTGAAATACTATGTGTTATTAATAAAAATTTTTGAATTTTTAATCGGGAATATTTTAAATAATATAAGTGTTAGCAACATTATTTTTGCATATTCCTTCCTCCTCTGAAGATACTCCCCTATCCGTACATACCCCATTTATACCGAAATTCGTTTTTTTTTTTTTTTACACGACCGCCTAAGTAATCGGAGTCGTGCCGTATGTACGGATAAAGGAAGTGCTCCAGATCAAGAAAAAAATATATATATACATATGTATATAAGTTAGCACCCCATTCACCGTCGAACTGTCATCGTAACCGGTTGCTTTTC